CACCAGAAAACATGGGAATGTCTGTCATTGTCCCTAGCACCTTTTCCCCCACCATCTCAGCAGTCCCAATTGCAGGGAGACTGACAGGACAGTCAACACCAACTTCCTCCAGCACCTATCCACAGGAAACATCAGCCGTTTCCCAGATGGATGAGACTCAGAGTACAGGAACCAGCAGAGACCCTGAAACCATCGGCTTGGTGTCCCCAGTGACTGATACCTTGTCAACAGTCACATCTGCACCTGCAACATCCATACAAAATGGGCACACATCGCCACAAACTGAGGTCCATATGCCATCATTGTCAGGAACAAGCCCCACCTTTATCGCCACTCCAGACAGAAACAGCCTTGGGACCCAGACAACAATGCCAGCCCTGTCACCTGACACTACTGGAGGGCTCCCTACTGTTGGTTCTACCAGCCTGAGGAATGTTGCCTCTCTTTCTCCTTCCACAATTTTGTCCACAAGTGGAGAAATTCTGACAACAAGCACAAGCCCAATTATCCACGAGAACCTCACAATAGTGGTCATTCCCCCTGTACATTCTGGCAACGTCTCCTTGGGAAATACCACACAAATTCTCACCTCCTCAGTGGATATCTCAGGCACACCCATCCCTGAGCATCCTACAACTGTTCAAAGGGAAGCCTCCACCACCAAGTCCATGACAACACCAAACTCTGCAAGTTCTATAGACACCCATGAGAGTGCAGCCAGCACCACTCTCACCTTGACAGGTGAATCTACCTCTCACTCTCTGTTCAGGACCCTTTCAGAAACGAGCACTTTACAAACAACCATGGCCATTAGTTTCACTCACATGCCTACCTTTGTGGTATCCCCATCCAGTAAGGTTGACTCAGCAACACAACTGTCATCTACACCCATCCACCCTGTCACCACCCAAGGAAATCGAGTAGACATCTCAGCTACTGTCAGTAGCACCACTGCTTCTTACACCTCTACAACAGAAGACCCAGCAAGTCAGTCAACGCCTCTCTCTGCCAGTACCTCTCCTCAAGAGTCGTCAGGTGTCTCCCAGATAGGCTACACTCAAGCAGGACAAGCCGCACAAGAATCCTCAACAATGAGTTCAGTGTCCCTCATGACTGACATCATCAAGATGATCACAACTACAATTTCTTTCACACCCAGTGGCAATGCATCCTCAGAAAGTGTTCCTCCTGACTCTTTCACCACAGGAGAGGTGACAACCTTCACCCAAGCACACTCCAGTGATGCTCACACAACCCAGGCCACAACCACAGAGCAGGGAACAGCACCCAGGAGCCCTAGCAACACTCTGGGATATTCTGGAGGCACACCACCTTCCATAACAGTCACAGGTCCTCAGGCCGCCTCTGAAGTGTCAACAGCAGAAGGCTCAGGAGGACAATGGACATCACCTTCTTCTAGCATCTCACCTGACACAACACCAGCCATCACCCAAACCCACCAGACTCAAGGCACAGACACCTCTGGAGAAATCTACACCACAGAACCTATCTCTTCAGTGTCAGACACCACCACAGGGGACACAGTTTCCCCTTCCTCATCCATGGCAAGTGGCAAAATGACATCAGGACATGTTTCCCCAGAAACATCTACCACAAGGAAGGTCACAGCCTTCACACCAGCTCCTTTTAGTTACAGCCACACGACTCATTCAAAAAATGACTTGTCCACCTTAATCAGTCAAGACACTACTCCAGAAAACATGGGAACGATGTCTACAATTTTCCTTAGCACCTTTTCCCCCAATATCTCAGAGGTCTCTACTACAGGGAGAGCGACAGGACAGTCAATGCCAACTTCTTCCAGTACCTCTCCTCAGGAAACAGCAGCTATTTCCCACATGGCTCAGACTCAGAGTACAGGAACAAGCAGAGGACCAGCAACCATCAGCTTGGTGTCCCAGGTCACTGACACCTTGTCAACAATCACATCTGCATCTCAATCTTCCACACAAAATGGGAACACATCTCCACCAACCTCAGTAACCAGCACCACCTTTATCACCACCCCAGTCAGAGATAGACATGGAACTCAGTCATCTATGCCAACATTGTCATCTGAGACTATGGGAGGACGCCCAACTGTCAGTTCCACCACCCTGAGGAAGGAAGCTTCTCTGTCTCCTTCCACAATTCTGCCCACAAGTGGAGAAGTTCTGACAACAAGCACAAGCCCAGTCATCCATGAGAACCTCACGGCAGTGGTCATTCCACCTGTACATTCTGGCAACGTCTCCATGTCAAATACCACACAAGTTCCCGTCTCCTCAGTGGGCATCTCAGGCACAACCAGCCCTGAGCATCCTGCAACTGTTCAAAGGGAAGCCTCCACCACCAAGTCCATGACAACGTCAAACTCTGTAAGTTCTACAGACACCCTTGACAGTGCAACCAGCTCTACACTCACTGTGGCAGGCGAATCTACCTCTCACCTGCTGTCCAGGACCAGGGCTGTGACCCTTTCAGAAACCAGCACTTCACAGACAACTATGGCCAATGTCTTCACTCACACGCTTAACTTTGCAGTGTCCCCATCCAATAAGGTTGACTTAGCAACACAATCGTCATCCAGACCCACCAACCCTGTCACCACACAGGAGAATCCAGGAGACATCTCAGCTACTGTCACTAACATTGCCACCTTTGACACCTCTACAACAGCAGGCCTAACAAGGCAGTCAACACCTCTCTCTGCAGGCACCTTTCCTCAAGATTCAACAGGTGTCTCCCAGACAGGCCACACACAAGCCACACAAACCACACAAGAATCCTCAGTCATGAGTTCAACCTCCCTCATGACTGACACCACCAAAATGATGACAGCTACTACTTCTTTCACACCCAGTGGACACGCAAACTCAGAAAGTGTTCCTCCCGACTCATCCACCACAAGGGAGGTGACAACCTTCACCCAAGCACACTCCGGAATTGCTCGCACAACACAGGCCACAACCACAGAACAGGGGGCAGCACCTATCAGCCTTGACACCACCTTGGGAGGCTCGGGAACCACGCCACCTTCCATAACAACCACCAGTCCTCAGACCACCTCTGTTGTGTCAACAGTAAAGGGCCAAGGAGGGCAATGGACATTGCCTTCTGTCAGCACCTCACCTGACACAACACCAGCCATCAGCCAAACCCACCAGACTCAAAGCATAGTGACCTCTCAGGAAACAAACACCAGTGAACCGGCCTCCTCAGGGTCAGACACCACCACAGCCGGCACAATTTTCCCTTCCTCATCCACGGCAAGCGACAAAACAACTTCAGGACATGTGTCCCCAGAAACATCCACCTCAGATGAGATCACAACCTTCTCACCATCTCCCTCCAGTGAAAGCTACACAGCTCAGACAACAATTGACTTGTCGTCCACCTCAACCAGTCATGATACCACACCAGAAAGCATGGGAAAGATGTCTGTCACCGTCCCCAGCACCTTTATCCCCACTATCTCAGAAGTCTCAACTGTAGGGAGACTGACAGGACAGTCAGCACCAACTTCTTCCAGCACCTCTCTTCAGGAAATGTCAGCCATTTCTCACATGGCTCAGATTCAGAGTACAGGAACCAGCAGCGGACCTGAAACCATCAGCTTGATGTCCCAGGTGACTAACACTGTCTCAACAATCACATCTGCATCTCCATCATCCACACAAAATGGGCTCACATCTCCACAAACCGAGGCCCATGATCCATTATCCTCAGGCACCAGCACCACCTTTATCTCCACACCAGTCAGAGACAGCCTTGGGACCCAGACAACAATGCCAGCCCTGTCACCTGAGACTACTAAAGGGTCCCCTACTGTCAGTTCTACCACCCAGAGGAACGTCGCCTCTCTTTCTCCTTCCACGATTTTATCCACAAGTGGAGCAGTTCTGACAATAAGCACAAGCCCAGTCATCCATGAGAACCTCACAGCAGTGGTCATTCCCCCTGTACATTCGGGCAACATCTCCCTGTCAAACACCACACCAGTTCCCACCTCTTCAGTGGGCATCTCAGGCACACCCAGCCCTGAGTATCCTGCAACTGTTCAAAGGGGAGCTTCTACCACAAAGCCCATGACAAGTCCATCATACATAAGTTCTACAAGCAATCCTAGCAGCTTAACTGTTTCTACACTGATGTCATCATTTTCACCTACCACCTACTCTTGGAAGAAGACCTCTCTTGATACTTCTTCTGCACCCAAGTCTTCTACCAGTTACTCTCCTACTCCCCAACCCTCTGTAGACTCTAACTCCTTTAGCAATGTGAGCACAGCTCAGACCATAACAAGTTTCTATACTTCCCCCAGTAATTCTTCGTTTTCTTCATCAGCGTCTGGTCCTGCAGTCACTGGGCACTCCACCACCCCATTCACAGGTCACACAACTCCACAGTCTGTTACCTCACCTTCCATAGGCTCCTCAGGCTCCTTTCTGAAGACTGCAACGTCAGGTAGCTGTCTCCCTTGTCTCTACCTCTTTTCGCGGCCCCAGTGACTCACTTCAGCCTGCTTGAGAATGTTTGGTGAATTAGCATTACCCAGTAGGGCTGAGGCCATTTCCACCAGATGATGAGGTGCTGGGATGTGGCGGGTGATGGGCTCATTCTCCCAACTACCTTAAGCAGAAACTGCTTGTGTAGAGAGTGGGTTGGATGTGCCCGGTAGTCAGACGAAGTTTCTAGCACGCTCTTGATTTTGTCGACCCTACTATTCTCTTTCTGTAAGACCCACTTCTGTCTTCTCTCCCTCCATGTCCAGGGATGACCACAGCCTCCCTGAGGACCGAAAGTCTAAAGAGCTCAGCAACCACACTGCCCTCAACAGCCTTCCAGACCCTTCGCACCTCCACGCCCAGCACACCCACGGTCATGCGCTCACCCACTCCCCTAGTCCCTGTCCAACCTGAGAAAGGTGAGGGTTGCCAGAGAAGTGAGACCTAACCCCCTGCAGGGGAACCAGTTGGGGAGGCTGCACTTGTGGCAGCTGGATTGGATCTGCCAGGGAAGGCCCTTGTGTGTAGTCGGGGAAGCCAGTCCTCAAGGTTTCGTCACTGCCCCATCTGGGCCATGGGAAATCCAGCTGCTCTCCATATGCCCTTTAGAGGGATGATGGAATCGAGTGTTCCTTCTTAGCCTACTCAGTCTCTGCTCTCTCCAGTGGAAGGGTCTTACAGGGGAGAGTGAGACAGTATCAGAGTTGGGTGCTGAGGGCTGTGCCCGTGGTACTGGGCTAGGAGCTGCAGGCAGAGAAATGATCACGGTGCCACTCAGCAAAGGACAGGTCAACTGTCCTGGTAGGGGCAATCAGAGAAACAAGCCCAGGCCTGGTGCGGTGGCACATGCCTGTAATCCCAGTACTTTGGAAGGTGGAGGTGAGAGGATTGCCTGAGCCCCAGGGTTCAAGACGAGCCTGGGCAACACGGCAAGACCTCATCTCTACAACAAATAAAAAAAAATTAGCCAGGCATGGTGGCACACGTCTGTGGCTCTAGCCACTTGGAAGACTGAGGTGGCAGGATCACCGAGCCCAGCAGGTCGAGGCTGCGGTGGCCATGAGCCTGCCACTGCACTCCAGACTGGGCAACAGAGTGACACTCTGACTCAAAAAAAAAAAAAAGAAAAGAAAAGAAAAAGAGAGAGAAATAAGCCCAGATGTTAGGCACACATAATGAAAAGCCCTCAAGGGATGTGGTGTGGTTTCAAGGTAACAGGAGGCTTCCTGGTAAGGATGAGTGGGATCCAGGGGAGGAAAGCACCCCAGGCAGGGAGGAGGGTCTGAACAGCCGGAACGAAGGCACCAAAGTGAAAAGTGGTCCCTGTGCCGCATGGGGAGGAGCCCCCCAAAGCATTTGCAGCTGCTGGAAGTATGGAGAAGAGTGGTGAGAGGGGAGGCTGGTGTGGGGAATCCTGTAGGTCAGGGGAACCAAGGAGGACACAGCTAGGTCTGCATTTTTCGAGGGGCGCTATGGTGTGTGCAAGGCCCACAGAGCCGTGGAGAGACTCCGGGGTATTCCAAGCAAGACCAGGTGAGGGCGCCAAGGGGTCCATGGCTGCCAGTGTGGTGAGGAGGCCCATGTGAGAAATACTTGGTTCAAGTTTTCTCAAACTGGAGCCCCAAGACCTTTGGTTCGGGGGGGGGGGGTCCCAGGACTAATTCTAGGGGGTCTTTAAGTTTACCTAGAGAAAAGCCATTTTGGGAAGGAAGTCTCATTCCATGAGATGGTCCTTCAGTTACTAATCTTCACTGTATGGGACTTCTGTCTTTTTTTTTTTTTTTGAGTTGGGATCTCACTCTGTCATCTAGACTGAAGTACAGTGGGACAATCACACCTTGACCTTCGGGGCTCAGGTGATCCTCCTGTCTGAGTCTCCCAAGTAGCTGGGACTACAGGCACACACCACCACATCTGGCTAGTATTTTTTATTTTATTTATTTATTATTATTTTATTTTTATTTTTTGAGTCGGAGTCTCACTCTGCTGCCCAGGCAGGCTGGAGTGCAGCGGCATGCTCACAGTCACCGCAGCCTCGACCTGCTGGGCTCGGGTGATCCTTCTGCCTCAGTCTTCCAAGTAACTGGAACTGCAGGCACACACCACCATGCCCGGCTAATATTTTGATTTATTGTAGAGATGAAGTCTCATCAAGTTGTCCAGACTGGTCTCAAACCTATGGGCTCAGGCAATCTTCTCACCTTAGCCTCCCAAAGTGCTGGGATTATAGGCGTGAGCCACCACTCCCAGCCGGTTTTATTTTTTGTAGAAATGGAATCTCACTATATTGCCCAAGTTGGTTTCACACTCCTGGGATCAAGCAATCCTCCCACCTTGGCTTCCCAAAGTGCTAGGATTGCAAGCATGAGCCACCGTGCCCAGCTGGACTTTTGTCTTTGAACCCTTAAAAGAATGGTGGCTACCATAACAGATGCAGAATGGTAGTTCCTATTTTCCTCCAAGCTGGGAGGGATGGGAGTACAGTTTAGGGAGTAAAATGTGGAGACGAGTTAATAAATGTGAGTGGAGAGGGAGAAGGAGGAGAACTCGGTGGCTCTTAGGCCCACCAGTGCTCCTCCCCTCGGGGAACAGAGGACAGCGGTGAGGAGCAGCTTCGGGGAAGCTCTCTGGGAGTCCCTTTCAGCCCAAAGAAGACCAAGGTCCACAAGGACTCCCTACTCTTCTTTGTCCTGGCCCAGGAGTTTCCCTCTTTCCCTACGGGTCAAGTGCTAATGACGTGGAGTTCGTCAGGAGGACAGTGGACTTTAACTCGCCACTCTTCAAGCCCCAGATCGGCTTCCCCTTCGGCTCCTATCTCCGGGACTCCCTCTACGTGAGTGTCTGCAGCCCACACAGCAGGACCTGTGGCCTGTGCTCCCCGAGCCTGTGTCTCTCTCCAGCTCCCAGATGGTCCTGTGACCCAGAGGAAGGGAGAGTGGAAGCTATTTTGCCAGCCTCCCTCCCTTTGTGGACATAAGTGTCTTTATCCCAATAAAAAGAGGGCCCAGCCAGCTCCCTGATGTTTTCATGGGGTCTTCATATTGCATGAAAGGCTATACTTAGGAAACCCGACTGGCTCCTGCCATTCCCATTGTCCACGAGTAGTCTTGCTCTTGGTCTTGGAGTTAGAAGGGCCATCCTGCCCTGTCGCCTCAGGGAGGAGGCTTAGTCAAGACACATTATGAGAGGGCAACACAGCAATGGGAGTGATGGGTTCTATTCCTTTAGCCCCCTCTGATGTATCACAAGCTTCAGGGTGGGCCGAGGGGATTTACTAAGAGGGTGTGTCCTGTGAGGGGCTGGTCTACACTGAAGCAGAACAAGACCTCCCTGCCTTAGGACTTGAGGAATGGCCTGAGGGCAAAGGGTATTTGTGTGAGATTACAATGTACAGGGCTCTCCCAGAAGCTAGGAGATGGATAAGATGGACTTCCAACCTTCTGGGGACTGTTGACATCTCCACAGGTCTACCCAGAGAGGCCCTTGGGGGTCACACTTCTGAGAGCTGGCCCAAGTCTGGGACATTTCCTCCCCACCCTCTCCCTGAGTGCTAATCACAAAACCCTTGTGCTCAGTTCACAGACAATGGCCAGATCATTTTCCCAGAGTCAGACTACCAGATTTTCTCCTACCCCAACCCACTCTTCAGAGGCTTCACAAGGTGGGACACTGTGGCCCTGGTGGCTCCATTCTGGGATGATGCTGATTTCTCCAGTGGCCGGGGAACCATATTTTACCAGGTGAGCCTTGCAAAACCTGGCAGTCAGGATCCCCTGGTGAGGGGTGGGAGAGGCAATGAGAGACAAAGGGTTGTGGAGGGAGTGCCCCTGTCAGGGCTTGGATTCCTGCGGGCAGGGGACTGAGGCTTAAAAATGGGTGTGGGGAGGGAGTAGATAAGGAAGAATTAAAAAGCAGGAATATCCTGGCCCAAACATGAGAAGACCCACAGGTGAGGGGGATGGGGTTGATAATTCAGTGTTCGATTTTAAAATAAGGCTGTAGGGGGTCAATTCCAGCAAGTCTGAGCCAATCAGAGCCTTTCATGTGCTCCTGGATTGGGTTCAAGATTCCAACCAGTGGAAGTGCCCACTAAAAGCCACTACAACAAAAGTGAATCTTGTCCCTGCTGTGGACAAGGCCCCGCAGAAGCTCCAAAGATGGAGAGACTCGTGCCTGTCCTCAGGAGCTCGCCAGTCAAACCTAGGGAGGTAAAAATGGGCACGAGTGGTCACGCTATCTGAGCCAGTTTGAGCTAAGAGATGTGTGAGTTCAAGTCCCAAGAACTTGGACTTCCGGCCCAGGACCCTCCATCCTACACATCGCAGGCTCTCCTGCAGCCCAAATTTGAACTGATCTTCAGGTCATAGGAGATCATTGTGAAAACGCAGGCCTGGAACAGGAATGGGCGAGGTGGATGGGTAAAAGGAAGCAGGATCCCCCAAGCAGAAAGTGAGGGTCCCTCATTTCCTTGTTCTTCTCTGCCTTCCTTTCCTAGGAATACGAGACACTCAACAATGAACACGACAGGCTAGTCTTGCAGGTGGAGTCTTGGATTCAAAAGTTCACAAACACTTGGCACTACAAAGCCAGGTGGACCCTAAAAGTCACATGGGTCAATGTTCCTGCCTATCCCGCCCAGTGGACCTTTGGGGTGAGTGGACCCATGAACAGTTCCCTGTGAGCCTTCTGGGAGTCAGGCATCCTAGAATCCTAGACAGGAGCCAAATCCTCTTTGGCCCTAGGAAATATTGCAGATCATAGCCAGCTCCTCCGCCAATATCATTTGCTGGGCACTCACCATGGGCCGGGCCTGCCTCAGCCCTTTATTTACATGACCTCACAGCAGCCCAGCAAACTAGAGATTATCGGGTTGAAACATAGGGAACGGCATTCTCATAAGTCAAAAATGTCTGACTACCCGCAATTTCGTTTGACTCAACCTGATATTATCCGCGTTTTGGAGAGGAAGATGATCATGGGTAGAGAGGTTGACTGACTTTTGCAGCAGCCAGCAAGTGACCATGCCAGGCTTTTAGCCACAGTGCCATCCAGTGAAAATGGGGCACACCACGCAATCTCCTGTCTTCTGTACCAAGACTCAGCTTTGACAGTCACCGAGTTCTTCCTTGTGTCTGATCTAACGTTGCTTGTTTCTTCATTCACTCAACGAAAGTTCATTGATCGCTTCTTTGGACAAGGCATGTGCCTTCCCAGAACCTCCAGTCTCACCAGCTGTAGGTCTTCCATGCTACTCAGGTGGAGGGGACAACTGGGACAATGTCCTTAACTATCCCTGAGGGAGCAAATTAAGCCTCTCAGGCTAATCTCTCAGGTTCCTGTTGCTTTCTCTTATAAACCCTCATCTAACTGGATTGTAACAGAGAGACCTGTATTTCCCCACCTTGAAAAAAAAGTCACAAAGAAGGCAAATCCACCTTGGTAAGTGCTTTGACACCTAGGCTGAAAGCTGTCCTGACTAATTCCAAACTTGTCAGCATTTTAGGTCATCCCTTTGCTCTGGGCAGACCAGGAACAGGAGATGTGTGTGTCAGGGCAGGAGTGCAGGACAGTTGGAGGGCATGAGGGAGGAGACCCCAGTTCCCTCACAGATATCCCTATTTTGTCTCCCACCCACTCCCAGACCAACACCTACCAGGCCATCCTGTCCACGGATGGGAGCAGATCCTACGCTCTGTTTCTCTACCAGAGCGGTGGCATGCGGTGGGATGTGACCCAACGCCCAGGCAACCCGGTGCTCATGGGCTTCTCCAGGTAGGACGGGAGACGCTGTCAGCACCAAGCAGATGACAGCAGGGGGTGCAGAGCGAGGTTTTGCCTCACATGTACTCCCAGCCCAGGACAAGGCACGATCCCTCCCTGCTGATGCTTCTGCCTCACACAGACTCCACCTTCTGCTGGGGCCATGAGCTTGTGTTTCAAATGAGAAGATCTCCCATTCATCCCACTGTTCTCAGTCCCATCCCTATCCCTATGCCTTATTATAATTCCCAGAGCTTTGACTTTCCAATTTCTACTGATATCAAGGGGCCTCTCTGGGCTTCTCAAATATCATGATAATAACAGCCAAGATTCATTACACTAAGTACTTTACATACATTATTTCATCTGATTTTCACAACCACCCCCTGAGGCAGATACTATTTATTATTTCCATTCTACAGATAAGAAAACTGAGGTACAAATAGATAAGCAATTTACCTAAAGCCACAGAGGTAGAGGTAGGAAGTGACTCAGTGGGGATTGTTTTTTGGCTTCTTCTTTTTTTTTTTTTTTTTTTTGGAGTCTCACTCTGTCACCCAGGCTGGAGTGTAGTGGTATAATCACAGCTACCACAGCCTCAACTTCCTAGGCTCAGGTGATCCTTCTGCCTCAGCCTTCCAGTAAGCTGGGACTACATGTATGCACCACCACACCTGGCTGGCTAATTTTTAAAATTTTTTGTAGAGACGAGGTCTCACCATATTGTCCAGACTAGTCTCGAACTCCTGGACTCAGGCAATCCTCTCACCTCAGCCTCCCAAAGTGCTGGGATTATAGGCATTAGCCACTGCACCCAACCTGTTTTGGGTTGTTTTTGAGTCAGAGTCTCATTCTGTTGCCCAGGCTGGAGTATAGTGGCATGCTTAAGGTTCACTGCAGCCTGGACCTCCTGGACTCAGGTGACCCTTCCACCTCAGCCCACTGAGTAGCTGGGACTACAGGTATGCACCACCATGCCTGGCTAATTTTTTGATTATTTTTGTAGAGATGAGGTCTCACTATGTTGCCTAGGCTGGCCTTGAACACCTGGGCTCAAGCAGTCCTCTTGCCTTGGTTTCCCAAAGTGCTGGGATTACAAGTGTGGGCCACCACCCCCAGCCAAAGTGGGGATTTGAACCCAGACATCTGAGGCTGGAATGTGCCTTCCTGAGAATTACCCACTCACCCAGGGACACCCGGCAGCTTGGATGGAGCCAGTAGCAAAGAGGGAGAGGAAGAATGGGGCTGTGGGAGACTTAGGCTCTGACAGCCTCAACCATATATTTCCAGATGCTGGTGTGTGACCTTCAGTTGTGAAGGTCACGTGTCATTCATTCCTGGTAATTACTGCAAATGGTTTGCCCCTCATTCTTGTGCGTTCCAGTTTCACCTATAATTACATTGCTTTCATTCGCTTTTTGATGTGCCGTGAAGGAGAAAGGAGTGGAATGAAAGGAGAAAGGGGTGTGACACCAAGGGAGGTGTCACACGGGTACATCACCCAGCTTGTGTCAGACAGGAAGAAAGGTCAGGACTCACTGCTCTGCCACACACGCCCAGAGTGAGGCTCCAGGCTGCCGTTCGGGCCTTCTTCCTTCTTGGAGTTGCACTCAGACCTCACTACTGAGGCCGGTGATAGTGGTAGGGGTGGCAGTATCTGCTGTATCAAGGCCTCACTTGGTCTGAGGAATTTACAAATGTTATTGCATTTACTTCTCACGATCCTGTGAGGTAGATGCCACCAGAATCCTTTTTCCATAGATGTGAAAACTAAGAATCAGAGAGGGTAACTCACTCGCGGTCGCCCAGCTAGGAAGGGCTAGAGTCAGCACTTGAATCTATGACTGCCTAATCCAGAGACCAGCTCTTAACCATGACAATATACTGTCCCCTATAGTATGTCCTCTTCCAATCCCTGGTTTAAGGGAAACAAGCAGAAAGGAGGCTAGAGCTCTGTTATCTCACACCCCTGCCTCATGCCAAGTGGACCTGCCAGTGTCTTGCAGTTAGCGATCAGAGGTGGAATGGGGTAGAGCCTCCCGCCCCAGCCTGTCCACCTCCTGCTCAGTACTGGGGCTCAGAGACTCGGGCTGGCTGACCCACCCACCCACTGCCTGAATGACTGGCTGGCCAGCTACTGCCTGGCTAGCTGGATGAATGACTTGCCACTGAAAGGAAAGAGCCCACGTAGGGCAGAGGCCTGAGAGTCTTTTCTTTGCCTACAGTGGAGATGGGTATTTTGGAAACAGCCCGCTGATGTTCCAGCCAAGGTGGGAGAAGTATCGTCCGGACCAATTCTTGGATTCCAACTTAGGTAAAAGTACTGCCTTCTCACCCTTGAGCTGGTCTCAAACCCTCTTTTGTGCCCTACTCTGTATGCCCTGGCAGTCCCAGAGGGCAACTCCCCAGCATCTCCTTCCTTCTGAAGGGCATCTCCTACATAGGCTGACCTCCTGCAGGACTAGGCAGGATGTATCACTGCCCAGGGAGAAGCTAGTACCTTCTGCACCCTTAGACACAGTACAGTCTCAGTTGAAGGCTATGTCTCCTCCCTCAGGAGGGCTTCAGATCCTGGAAGTAAGGACAGGGGTCTTGTGGGAGGTGGGGATAAGAATGGGCAGTTAGGACAATACTCTAAGTGTTCGGTCCTGGACCTGGAATGAGAACCCAGATGAGATCCCTTAGGAGGATCTACCAAGAGGAGTCCCAGAGGTCTGACATTGATTCAATTATCATTTATTGAGCTCCTACTATGTGCTGGACACTGTGCTAACAGCCGGAAAATTTTTTAAAAAGGAAAAAAAAGCCAACTATGTTTGATCTCAAAGAGCTTTCACTCTGGTGAAAAGACTTGGGGTGTGTGTGTGTGTGTGTGTGTGTGTGTTGGAGAAAAGTGTTCGATGTGCTTTTCCAGGCCATTGTGGAGAAGATACACAAACAGATTATCACACCCAATGATGATTCTTCTCAAAACCTTACATTCTAGTTATAATCTCTTCATTTGTGTGGGTGCGGGGTCATGATCTCACACACTATATCCCATGTGTCTAATTGGGTCCTGGCACCCCTTTCTTACCATGTAGTTGGGGTGGGCAGTATTTAACCTACAGTGAATTAAAGGTCCATTGAAAAGTTAAACCCCCATCCTTTCAAAGATGGCGTCTGGGCCCAAAGGGGGCCTCCTCGGCCTCATGGTGTTGGGGCAAGCCCCTGTTTCACATGCCAACTTCCCCATGGTCCCCCAGCCTCGGTCCTAGCTGCCCTGGTCACCAAAGAGTCTGTGCTGGGGAAGAGGGAGGGTGAAGGACGAAGATCCACTGTTTGACGTTGTGACTGGACAAATGGAGTGTCCCTGGATGAGACTGAGGGTGCATGAGGAGAAACTGATGTGGGGGCATTGGACGGGAGGCCTTGGAGCTGAGAGTGACAGGAGGGAGGGTGGAACGTTGGCTGAGGCAGAGCCAGGGCTTGGGTACAGGTGAGACCTCCCTGCCCAGTTCTTTTCCCAGGGTTTTGTCCTAAAATGTAAGGGGCTTGGAGCCCACTTGTGTGTTTCTGGGGCGGAATCATTGTCAATCTGAACGGGTCTCACCCCTGGAAGCTGCCCAGAGAGGCAGGGAGTGGCATGGGGGGTGCATTTATGAGGTCTGGTTGACTAAGACGGAGCTTGCGGCCCCAGGCCCTGGGATAACCCTTCTCTCCTTGCTCCCCCAGGTATCCAGGGACTACAGGTCTTCAGGCTACACAGGGAAGAAAGGCCCAACTACCGCCTCAAATGTCTGCAGTGGTTGAACAACCAGCCTCAGTGGCCCAGCTGGAGCTGGAGCCGGAGCCAGATCTCCTGCCCTTGTTCCTGGCAGCAGGGATTATGGGACTTACGATTCCAGCCTGTCAGCAAAGGTTATGCTTCCTTCCTGTCCCCCACAGGTCCACCCACCATCTTCTCTGCTCACACCTGCCCTGTCCTCTCTGAAGCGCCCTCAACCCTTCCCTAGAAACTCCCTCCACCCTGTTGCATGCCCCTCCTTCCCTACCCCAGACATCCCCGAGCCTGGGCCTGAGCGTGTCTGGATTCATTGCAGGCTGGTGGAGCCTCGGCCACTGGCAGCTGTGCAGCTTCTCCTCCTGGCAGGGCGGTGTGTGCTGCAGCTACGGGCCCTGGGGAGAGTTCCGCGAAGGCTGGAGGGTGCAGAGTCCTTGGCAGTGGGGTACGTGTGTGTCCACGGAGGTCTCAATCCCACCTCCTCTAGAACCTGCTGCACTTCCCCGCCAGGGGGACCCTCCGAATGAAAGCTCTCTTCCCCAATCCTTCTCAGCCCCCTCCCCTCTCTGACCCTCGATGTCCTGACCTTGCAAAATTAGGAGCTTCGGATGCACCTACCTGCTGGCTGTCTAGGGCTTTATGGGCTGTGTGCCTCTTGCCCCATCTCCACTTGGTCTGTAGCCCCAGGCCAAGTGGGGTCATCTTTCCAGGCAGAGGGAGTGGGCCTAGTCTGACCCTGTCCTTCTAGACCCAGGTTGGGAGACCGTTTGGGGGAAGACTGAGAGTCGGCTTCCACAGAGACCCTGCAAGGAGTGGGGGGCCAGGGTGGTCTACATCCTCCCACCCTCCTCCCTGTGCCCTGTCTTCACAGCCCCCAGACCCTCAGCCACCCCCTCCCCACTCCAAGCACTTTGAGAGCAGTGAGGCTCGGCCCCCACCTTTCAGGAAAGGAAGTTTGTTTAGCTTCCACCTGCTGAATGATGGCCCCAATACGCCTGCAAGGGGGACAGTACCTGGACGTCATTGAGCAGGGGGCAGTCCCCAGACGACACTGAGAAGGGAAACAGTAACCGGAGGTCATTGAGGAGGGGGACACTACCCGGAGGTCATTGAGGAAGGGGACAGAACCCGGAGGTCATTGAGCAGGGGGACAATGCCTGGAGGTCATTGAGAAAGGGGACAGAACCCAGAGGCCATTGAGCAGGGGACAGTACTTGGAGGTCATTGAGAAGGGTGACAGTACCTGGAAGTCATTGTGAAGGGGGACAGTACTCAGAGGTCACTGAAGAGGGAGACAGTACCTGGAGGTCACTGAGGAAGGGGACAGTACCCAGAGGTCACTGAGCAGGAAAACAGTCCCCAGAGGTCACTGAGCAGAGGGACAGTGCCCAGGGGTCACTGAGGAGGGGACAGTAATGGAGGTCATTGAGTAAGGGGACAGTGCCCGGAGGTCATTGAGCAGGGGGACAGAACCCCGAGGTCATTGAGGAGGGGGACAGTACCTGGAGTTAATTGAAAAAGGGGACACTACTCAGAGGTAATTGAGGAAGGGGACAGTGCCCGGAGGTCATTGAGGAGGGAGACAGGACCCAGAGGCCATTGAACAGGGGGACAGTACTCAGAGGTCATTGAGGTCATTGAAGAGGGGGACAGTCCCTGGAGGTCATTGAGGAAGGAGACAGTACCTAGAGGTCATTGAGCAGGGAGCCAGTACCCAGAAGCCACTGAGCAGGGCAGTGCTGGGTTTCAGAGCCACCCCCTTGCTGCCGATACCATCCTGGTCTACCAAGCCTTCAGCGGGACCCCACCGCCCCCATGTCCCCCACGGCCTCTACCTCCCCCAACGCATGGCTCTTCTCCACAGCCCAGGAACTGGAGCCACAGGAGTGGTGCTGCCGCTGGAACGACAAGCCCTATCTCTGCACCCTGTACCAGCAGAAGTGGCCCCCCATCAGCTGTGCTGGATACAGGCCCCCACAGCTCGGTGAGGGGCAGGACCCGCATGAAGAGACAGTCTCTTGGTCTCTGGGACACGGGCCCTGGACCAGGGAGGACCCGCAGAGCTGTGTTTACAAGGCAGCAAGGCGATGACTCCAGTGTGTGGCTGATGGCCAGTGGAGGGACTTTGGACATGGCAATGGGGAAGGAGTGAGATTGGGGGGTGGAGGCACAGCACTGCAAGAGACCTTGGGCAGGGGTGGAGAGTCTATACTGCGTGAACACCTCTCCAGGCATAAGTTCACCTGGACAAATGCCCTGCCTGATGGGCAGTGGGGAATCTCAGGCCCTATCCATGGTTTGCCATGCTAATGCAGTATGTCTTTTTTCCAGGCTGGATGTTTGGGGATCCCCACATCACTACCTTGGATGGTGTCAATTATACCTTCAATGGACTGGGGGACTTCTTGCTGGTCCATGCCTGGAACAGAAACTCCTCCTTCCTGCTGCAAGGCCGCACTGCCCAGACCAGCTCAGCCCAGGCCACCAACTTCATTGCATTTGCTGCTCAGTACCAATCCAGCAGCCTGGGCCCCATCACGGTGAGGGAGGGGACGCCCAGGACCTCCCTGCATCCCCCTACAGAGAGAGCCTACAGGGGCCTTCAGCTGGAAACTGAGGCCCAGGAGGAGGAAAACAAGGAAGAAGGGGAAGGAGGCAGGAGGGAGGGAGGCTGCATCCTGCCAGTGTCGTGGTCAGAGAGGAAGTCCTAGAGGTGGTGGGACTGGGTACCTGGCTCCACCATTATTCAGCTGTTTGACTTTGAAGAAACGACTTAACGTCCAGTATTTTGGTTTTCTTACAGTAAAATGGAAATATTATTATTATTGTTATTTTGAGTTGGAGTCTCACTCTGTCACTCAGACTGGAGTGCAGTGGCATGTTCCCGGCCACGGCAGTCTCGACCTGGGCTCCGGTGATCCTTCTGCCTCAGCCTTCCAAGTAGCTGGAACTACAGGCACGCGCTACCACACCCGGCTAATTTTTTTGATTTATTGAAGAGATGAGGTCTCACCAAGTTGCCCAGGCGGGTCTCAAACCCGCGGGCTCAGGCAATCCACTCACCTCAGCCTCCCAAGGCGCGGGATTACAGGCTGAGCCACCGAGTCCGGCTGAAATATTATTATTAATAACTACCTCACAGGGTTGTTGTGAGGCTTAAACACAATAATCCAAGAGACATGCCTAGCCCAGAGCCTGGCAGTGCTGAGTACTCCAGAGATGTTAGCTACCATAACCTCACTGCTACTCTCTCCAGCACCTTCCTCTTGATCCAGGGCTCAGGTTTTAGCCCTTAGCTGCTCACCAGAGCCTCCGTTCTAGGCCTCTGTTCCAACTTCCACCTGCAGTTTGGGCTCAGGCCTCCTCTGATTCCCTTCCAGGTTCAATGGCTCCTTGAGCCCAATGACATGATCCATGTTCTGCTTGATAACCAGACAGTGACATTTGAGACTAACCCTGAAGACGAAGAAGGTAGGCAGGGGCACCACCAGCCGCCAACTTCTGCTTCCTGGGAGGGAGGCCAGGAGGTTGCCCAGCGCCCTTGGAGCTGTGTCAGGCATGGAGGCAGTGGTCTTGGGCAGAGATGAGTGGCTGTCCCCTGCTGTCCCCCCAGCAGCTGTTTCTGAGCAGCTTCTTCACCCTTTTCCCGCCTCACTTCCTCCCTCCTTCCAGTGCTGTTTCTCCTTTGCTAGCTCCCGCCTTCAGTCTCCAGGAAGAAGGAGGTGGGGTGGCCTTGAGGGTGGTGCATGTGTTTGGTTTGGGGCCACTAGACAAGGCGCCCTCGGGACATTCAGAGCTGCCCACCTCTGCATCGTGAGCCTTCAATAGTGCTGGGTCTTGTGGCCTCCATGGTGCCAATACTGGCCTCCTTTTTACCTGTCTCCCAATGTTCTAGGCCAGGAGATATTCAATGCCACGGGAGTCCTACTGATATGCAACGGCTCCACGGTCTCAGCCAGCTTCGATGGGTCAGTGACCATCTCGGTGATCGCTCTCTCCAACATCCTCCACGCCTCCACCTACCTCTCAGAGGATTATCAAAACAACACAGAGGGCCTCCTGGGTAAGAAGCAGGTCGGGCCCTGCCTCTGAGGCAGCAGCTGGAGCTCAGACCCCAGACGGAAGGCAGCTCCCCGTCTCATGGACCAGGACACCCACCCACCGCTCACTGCTTTCTCTTCCTCAGCCTCCTGGAGCAGAACCCTCAGGGCCAGGGAGGGAGGAGGGACTTCCTCAGCCACCTTTGAGGCTCACTTCCTGTCCTCCCCCCCCCCCCCCCCCCCCCCCCCCATCCTCACATCTTTCCCAGGCATAATGGAGGAGGGCCAGCCAGTGGGGAACCCATGGGTCCCTGGCCGCCCACATTTCCTCTTGTGTTTTCTTCTGCCCCCTCCCTAAAGCAGGAGGAAAAGTGCTAAGGAGGAAAAGTGAAGCAGGGAAAGCGAATAGGAAGTGTGGGTGAATGTGAGATTTTAGAAAGGTTACCAAACAGAGACTTCACTGAGAAGGGGACATTGGAATAAAGACTTGAAAGAGGGGTGGGAGCAAGCCAGTGGCTGCCTTGGGGAAGGGCATTCCAGACAAGGGAACAGTATGTGCAAAGTCTCAGAGCTGAGAGTGAGCCAGGGCAGTGAGTCTTAGTAGGAGGTCACGGTCCTCCCCACTCCTGCTGGAGGCCTGAGGCAGATCCAGCTGCAAGAGTCTTTACTTCTCCAGTGTGACCTGTCAGATGTTCCCCAAGGAAGGGGAGAATGGCAAGCTCAGAGTGGCCGACCTCCTCCTCTGTCTGTCCCTCAGGGGTCTGGAACAACAATCCGGACGATGACTTCAGGATGCCCAATGGGTCCACCATTCCCCAAGGGACCTCTGAGGAGATGCTGTTTCGCTATGGAATGACTTGTGAGTCTGGGCCTCAGCGTCCTCAGGGCAGGCCGGGGTGAGGGGAGCTGGTATGCGGTCTCCCTCAGGCCTGTAGGAAGCAGACCTCCATCCTTTGCAAGGGTCTGAGTATGCTGCTGCCACCTCAGATCTGTGTCCTCATCTCACCTGCATCTCTACCTGGAAAGGAGGAGGGGGACGTGGGTGGCCTCACTCACCAAAGGAGGCGTTTCCAGACTTAGAAGCCTGAAGCCGTCTGTCCCTGCACCCACCCCCCTGGCCCAAGCCACTGAGGGCGAGGGGTGGATACAGCAAAAGTAAGGCTGGGTCCCACCCGTGGCACCGCCACTGTCACACCTCGTGTGTTCCAGGGGAGCTCAACGGAACGGGCCTCCTTGGTGAGAGAATCGACCGTCTGCCTTCCAACTTCACCCCCATCTTCTATTCCCAACTGCTGGGAAATAGCTCCTTGAATGACAAGTTGATCTCCAACTGCAATGGGGACAGACAATGCATCTATGACACCCTGGTTACACGAAACGCAAGCATTGGACTTCACACGATGATGATCTCTAGAACATACCAGCAGATGAACAGTACTCTCAGTAAGTGGCCTGAAGCCCAGGGAGGTGTTTTCCAAGGCGAGGAGCTGCCTTTCCCTGACACTCCTTAAGCTATGCATTTTATTCATTTAAAAGAGTCCTCTGCTCAAAAACCTCCAGTGACTTCCCAGCTCACTCCATCCTTGGAGCGGCCTTCAAGGCCCTCTTCAGTCTGGCCCCATTGCCTCTCAGAACTCTCCTGGTACTATACTCCTCGCCCTGCTCCCTCTACTCCAGCCTCACTGGCTTCTTTGTATTCTTCAAACATACCCTGCCCTGGATCACTCTCAACTCTGAGACTTCGCACATGCTGTTCCCTTGCCTGGAATGCCCTTCCCCAAGGCAGCCACTGGCTTGCTCCCACCCCTCTTTTAAGCCTTTATTCCAATGTCCCCTTCTCAGTGAGGTCTCTGTTTGCTATCCTTTCTAAAATTTCACATTCATTCACACTTCCTATTCGCCTTCCCTGCTTCACTTTTCCTCCTTAGCATTTATAATTACTTAACACATTCTATAATTTGGTAGATACCTTTTAAATTATTCATTCATTACTGTATCCTCACTACCCAGAACAGTGCCAGCCTTAGAGAAGTTGCTCAGTATTTGTTAAATGATGGAATGAATGAATGAACAATGAAATGGAAATATCAGGGCCCCAAGAACCAGAGACCACGCCCTTTCTATTTCTGGACAAATGTGGTATCTTGTTAGGTATTACCCTCCTGGTTTTCAGCCTTTTTCCAAAAGCAAAACCGTGACAATCTGAACAACACTGTTCTCTGATTCACTTTGTGCCATGCCCCGCATCACACTCTGTTCAGGAAAGAACTTGAAAGGGACCCTGTTTGAGGAGGAGGTAGAGAAAGAGAGGCTAAAGGCTTGGCCGGGTGGGCGGTGCAGCCCCCACCTGCCATGCACAGGTCTGAGAACTGGTACACAGAGCAATTCCTGTTCCCAGAAGTGGGCCAGAGCCCTGGGAATGATGCCTCACACAGCGTAGAGAAACAGAGAAGAGCCTGGTAAGCCGGGAGGTTGTCCTGCCTCAAACCCCCGTCCCCCATGTGTTTCAGATCAGTTCCCGCCCTCTATCAGTGGTAGACGTGTGATTGAAGCCTACAAAGGGCAGACCACTCAAATTCAGTACACCAGCACCACTGAGGATGTCACGTTCATTCTTGGAAACAATCACACTGATGTCAAGCTCTTTGGTAAGAACCTTTGACTGGGTGCAGGTGTGGAGAAGGCGGGTAGGGAATGAGGTCAGAGTCAAACTGTGGGTAATTTTGCACATCTACACCCAGCACAACCTCCTGTCACTATTTCTTAGGAATGATACCTATATTTCAGCTAGGTGCTCCCCTGTGAATAGTAGTGACAGGCTTGTGGCACTTTGGACAGATATCAAGACTGACTCTGGACACACATAATTGATTCAAAGATCATTTAATCTCAATCTGATAGTATGCAGTCATCTTTAACTGTCATTATGATTAAAGTGACAGCCTTGTGCCATTTGGACAGATATCAAGACTGACTCTGGACACACATAATTGATTCAAAGATCATTTAATCTCAATCTGATAGTATGCAGTCATCTTTAACTATCATTATGATTAAAGTGACAGCCTTGTGCCATTTGAACAGATATCAAAACTGACTCTGGACACACATAATTGATTCAAAGATCATTTAATCTCAATCTGATAGTATGCAGTCATCTTTAACTGTCATTACGATTAAAGTGACAGCCTTGTGCCATTTGGACAGATATCAAGACTGACTCTGGACACACATAATTGATTCAAAGATCATTTAATCTCAATCTGATAGTATGCAGTCATCTTTAACTGTCATTATGATTAAAGTGACAGGCTTGTGCCATTTGGACAGATATCAAGGCTGACTCTGGACACACATAATTGATTCAAAGATCATTTAATCTCAATCTGATAGTATGCAGTCATCTTTAACTGTCATTATGATTAAAGTGACAGCCTTGTGCCGTTTGGACAGATATCAAGGCTGACTCTGGACACACATAATTGATTCAAAGATCATTTAATCTCAGTCTGATAGTATGCAGTCATCTTTAACTGTCATTACGATTAAAGTGACAGCCTTGTGCCATTTGGACAGATATCAAGGCTGACTCTGGACACACATAATTGATTCAAAGATCATTTAATCTCAATCTGATAGTATGCAGTCATCTTTAATTGTCATTACGATTAAAGTGACAGGCTTGTGCCCTTTGGACAGATATCAAGGCTGACTCTGGACACACATAATTGATTCAAAGATCATTTAATCTCAATCTGATAGTATGCAGTCATCTTTAACTGTCATTATGATTAAAGTGACAGCCTTGTGCAATTTGGACAGATATCAAGACTGACTCTGGACACACATAAATTGATTCAAGATCATTTAATCTCAATCTGATAGTATG